GCTGCTGTGGTTTCATCACATTAATGTTTATCATGTTGGTATTTTCATGCATAATTGGCACCCCAAGCCATAGATGTATGCTGATGCCAAATTCATCTCAACATCTTCCCAAATAAAAAAAGTTCTCCACTTCCCACTCAGCAGATGTTTTAACAACAGCAGACAGAAACCAAGGAGATCTGGAAGCAGGGGGCCAAGCTGAGGGAGCTGGTAGCTGCAGTGTTTGCTTTCAGCAGCAAGAAGCACAAACATCATTTATCTGGGAGCAGCATGTTATGCAAGGCACAGAAGACTCTGAGAAGTCCCAAAGCTTGTCCTGGCACTGTCAGAGAAGTTATATGTACTATAAATCTCTTGTGTTTTCTTAAACATCACATGGCCTCCCTGTCTCAAGGGACCCAACAGCCATTTCACCTCACTTTGTTTTCTTACACAGTGCCTCTTGTTTCTTTCCTTACCCATGATACGTTTTCTGCAGTGAGACTCATTCTTGGAAATGCTGGGCACAATCCGTGTGTCCTACGGTAGATACAGTCCTGAGAGGTCACAGGGACAGCAGTGTTCACAGGGACACCAGTTCCAGAAATCACAGCTCTTTAGCCGTTCTCCTGCACCTTCATGCTCTACTTCCCAGCAGCATGTTCTAGTCCTTCCTCTCAAGATTGCTGCCTTCACAGAAGATGGGACATCCTCCTGAGCCATCCGTCCCTGCCCTGCGCAGCAAGATCCTCTGGTCTTGGCATTCCACAGCCCTGAACCTGTAAAATCCAAGCACTCAGTGCTCAAGACAAATGCTCAGGCCCCTCTGGCTCTGTGTCTCACCCACGTCTTGAGTCTGCCCCAAACATTAAACCAGGTCCCAATGGGATATCACCATGTGCATCATCACAACTTCATGTGTAACAGCTTCCTCACAGTAGAGTGTGGGGCAGGTTCTAAAACTTGGGGTGCACCTAAAGAATGGCCCCTCATGGTGCACACCATTGCTTCAAGTATAAAACAGTTCACTGATATGAAATCCATTATTTCCATTATTTGAGATGCAAAAACTATACTGTTGGCTGCTGGAGCTGTCACACCTTTTTTGGAGAGCCACTAACCAGCAGCACTAAATAATTTTTTAACCCCTTTTAGCTTCTAACAAATAAAATATTAAAATACGTTAGCAGTTAATAGCTTTTAACATAGCCACTTCATTGATATGTTCTTACTTTTACTGTTGGACTGCCCAGGCTGTTGGTGTTTCCCTGCTGAGGCTCACAGCCAACTGCAGTTGGTTGTGGTGACCCTGCCAGATAACACTCAAAGGGCTGCTTGCTTGATAAGTGCTAATGGGTCTTCAGAAGAGAGATCCAGGGAAAATTTCTTCACCATAAGGGCTGTCAGGCATTGGAACAGGTTGCCCAGGGAAAAGGTGAAGTCATGTTCCGTAGAGGAGTTTAAAAGGCCTGTAGATGTGGTTCTTGGGGACATATTTCAATTATGGGGTCAGCAGTGTTGGGTTAGTGGTGGGGTCTAATCTTTAGGGTCTTTTAAGCCTGAATGATTCTGTGATTCAATGATCTGATAGTTAAAGAAATTTAAATATCCTTATTTGACATACTGCTGTTTTGCAATGTCTGTACCCATGACAATCCTCACATCTTGTTTAATGAATTTTCAAGCCAGGACAATTGTGGTGATGATTTTCTTGGGACAAAGAGTGCATAAACCCCACTTCACTGTTACCTCAGAGCCTCACCCAAGTCTGAACAAGCCTTGCTCTTCCTTACAGGAACAGATATCCAAATGTGGAGGGACTTTGTAAGGCTACCTAAGCCAAGTGTCATGAAAACTCTTATCCGGTGATGGATCTGCAGCTATTGCATTCATTTATTTTTAATTGTACTTGAGTCACCAGCAAACCTCCAGGCACTCTGGATACAAAAGTCTCAGCATTTCCTAGTGCCTTTTATCTGCTTTGTGGTGGTTATTCACCTCTGACACTGAGTGTTGAATCAAGAAACACAATATATACACAGAAACAGAGAATCTATAGCAGAAATTACTCTAATTTCAACAGTTATTTCTTCCAGTAAGCTGGTCTTTATATTTTCAATTACTGGTATAAATGTAAGTAACTGCCTCCCCTGAATTACGAGTTTTATAAAAAATAAATACATACAATTCACTCTTGATTCTTCAAATGCTGATTTTTCAGACTTCATGATTTCTCTGAAGCCCCCTAGGCATTATTCCATTATTGGTGTAGAGAAAACAGGAAGACTCTCTCAGTATAGGACTTTCAAAACATAAGAAAGATGAAAGAGAGAGAGCATGAGAAACAGAAAAGATTAGAAAAAAGAGACAACTAATAAGGCAATATTCAGAGCGAGACTATGGTATTTACCTATCCTGTCAGGACACAAATATTTGTGGTTTCCTTCTTGTCACATAATCTTCCCAGGAGAAGACTACAGAAGGTAAGAAAGCAGCAATGACAAGTGATGACTCCTGTTTCCATCCTGAAGTTTTTATCGTCTGTTGAAGCAAGTAACCTTTAGCACTGTTAGCAAATCATAACTGAAGTGCTTCTGGCAGCATTTTGCATTGTCAATCCACAGAGCTGCAAGCAAAACTTTTCCTCCTGTGGGTAAGCAGAAATAGGAAGAAAACAGAAGTCCTTGAAAGACAGAGGGTTAAAACAAATGTCAACATTTATCCTTTGAGAAGGAGTTGATCAAATACAAATTTACAGACACAAAATGATGCTTAAGAAAAAGCAGAGATTACCAGAAGCAGGTGGAGCCCTGGATACAAGGGATGGCTGAACAACTCCCTTGTATAGACTTCCCAAGACTTCCCACCAGGCATATGGTGTTGCTAGAGACCAAATATTAAGCCAGATGGACTTCTGATCTAATGAACATTCCGGTGTTGTCATCATTTGGGGTGAAACTTGACAGCATGCCCAATACAAAGCAAAGCGTGGGCAGTCCTCAGTAAAGGATTTAGGACAGAAAATTGCATAGAGGTGCGGTTTACTGTTTTTATACCAGCCTTTCTCATTCAGGCTTAAAAGTTTAGCCAAATGCATATATTGGTGACAGTCTGAGTGAGAGATGTATTCCAGTGAAGACTTTATCTGCATATCAGGTGTTGCACTGCAGTTGGCATCACTAGGTGAGCCACTAACTTCACAACAAGCACCTAAGTTGACTTGGAAAATGCCAGTGCGGTTCAGTGTTGGATCTTAATGGAGTTTTCAGTCTCTTCACTGAAACTGCCAAGAAATAAAACCTAAAAAAAAAAATAATCCTGACTGTGGAGATGATCTTCTTGGGACAGAGAGTGCATGAACCTCACTCCAGGTTCCTTCTTTAAGCAGGTCATCTTCAGTGTCTCAAGACTGGGGCTGGCAGCATTATGCTGGAAGTCTCCATGATGTATTGTCACAGCCCAGCTCCTGCTATTTATGTCTTCTGGCACCTGAATGCTGCTCCCACACTCCCATGCAAGAACATTTCCCTCTGTGCCCACAGTCCTTCTGGCAGAGCACTGTGGCCAGCTCCAGATGGAGGCACACCCTGCATTGCTTGTCCCACAGCCATCTACACCAGAACACATTAAAAAAAAAAAAAAAATTAGCAGCAGGTCCCATTCCTGGGTTGCAACACAGGGACCAGATCAGCAGACCACAAGGTGGTAAACACCTGCCCACGTTACTTTTCAATTTCAGGTAAAAATTACCAGAAATACAGCATCCAAAAGACCTTTTCCTGTTCCTTTTCAGACTAAACTGGGTGACAGTCAGTTTACATCCTACCTCTGTCATTCCTAAAAAAACTGCAGACACTCTTTTATCCATGGGGTCGTTGAAGAGAAGACTGGGAAAGGTCTTTGTATGGCTTTGTGCTACCCTGCACTCTGTTCTGCTTAGATGATAATGCAGAGGCCAGATGGACTGGCAGAATGCTTCTTTGCTTGGTTTTTGCCAAGCAGTGCATAGCTGTGGTGAGATCATCTTTGCAAGCTGCTGTGATGTCCATGAGCTTCCTGGGAAGCAAATAAAACATGACTGCTTCAGCCTTAGCTCTGTTTGGCTTCCTGTGCTCTGAAAGCTTGGCCTGTTAGAGGCTGGTGATTGCTGAAGGGTTTTTAATTAGTGCGGATGGCAGCACTTGGCCACCTCAAGGAAGTGCTTGGCATAGTGGAAGATGCTGCCTGACTCCTCCATGGCAGCTTGAGACTTTCCGCAGGAGGCACTAAATGCTCCAAAAGCAAACAGAAACTTCAGAAAGAGGGGTGTGTGAAACCTGGACTGGCCTCCTTGGGGCTGCAGACTGTGGAATCAGTTCAGAGAACAGCAGGGCACAGAACCGCAAAAAGACTCTGTGTGTGTATATCCATGGCTGTAGCCTGGGCCATGCAGAGGGGAATTCTCCCTCCTTCTCACTGCCAGGGGAGACTTTTTGGTGACCTTTCAGTCCTCAGTTTGTCTGTGAGGAATGGCAGCCAAGATTGTGATATGGTGTCTGGACTTCTAGAAATGAACTGGGGGTGCTACCGTTCTGCAAAAGGTTAAATTTCATCCCTAAAAACAAACTAAAACATTCTGACAAAACAAATCTAGGCTTGTGTCCTTTGCTGAATACCCAGAGTGCAGAAGGTGGATTGTAGCCAGCCCAGAGACTTCTCATAACAGTTCCTGAAACATTGTCTGTTCTGGAGACAAATAATCCCAATAGACACCTACATTTGGGTGTTCAGGGTGTTAATGGGGATTATTTTCAGCATTTGAAGAAAACCCTGAGAGTACACAGAGAGGCTATTTAGTCACTTGGTAAGTCTTTCCAGGCTTTTCCTGGGGGGTGGGAAGCTGCCTGCAGGAAAACACCCAGAGAGGCAGGTCCACGAACTCTGAAGATTTCTGAGGAACTGTCGGCACCAGACTAGAGCTGAGACACCAGATGTGATGGGAGGCAAATGGCTCTGCTAACCCTCTCCTGTCCTCCCCTCAGCTCCACCACCCGTCCCAAGGGTTCTGGTTTGGCACGGTGCAGGAGAGCAGCGCCGAGGACTATGTGAGGCAGAGCTTCCCGGAGATGCACGAGTACATGCGGCGCTACAACGTCCCTGCCACCACCGACGGGGTGGCCTACCTGAAGTGAGCCCCTGCAAACAGCACCACGCCTGCCCCCCAGCCAGTTGTTATGATCTGGTTATTAGAATTGTTAAGGGAGATGCTCGGTTTAAGGTGAAAATGAGGCCAAAGTCAATAGTATGGATTTTATTTAACAGTAAATGTGAGAGAAAGAGAGAGAGAGAGAGAAAGAGAGAGAGAAAGATAGTGACAGAGAGACAGATATAGAAAATATCACCACTCCATGGATGCCATGTCCCGCTGATCCTCTCCTTCCCAGTGCTGAGGGTCCCACAAAACACAGGAGTTCAATGGATTAGTACACATTTAGGCCAGGTGGGAATGCCCACCTGGGCCTGGGGGTGCCATCAGGCGAGGGCAATGTACAAACTCCTGGAAAGTTCCTGAGCTTGGGAGCCCTTCATCAGGCAGCGAGAAACATTCAGAAAAAAACATCCAGCCCAATAAAAAGCTGCCAATAAGGTTCCTCAGTGTGGTGGGAGGAAAGGAGGTTGTCCGAAATTAACAGTAATTTATCATTAAAATGAATAAAAGAAGAACTAGACTGGTAAAAAGTAATAAAAGTCTTGTTGCTTTACAGAATCATGGCATGAGTGTGCCTCAGAAATATTTGTGCTTAACAGTCTGGGGGCCACACAACTCTTCCAGGAAACCTGGGAGGTGGTAATAAGTCTGAATTATTCATTCATTTTATCTTAAAAGTTGCCTGGCAGATGGCCTGAGAACTTTTCACCACAAGCTTTTTCTTGTTGTTTCTTGTTTATATATTTCTCCCCAGATCCATCCTGTTGATAATTAAGACACATGGCAGTTCTTTGGGTCAAACTGGAGTAAATGGATTGAAATCAGTGAAGTAATCACATCAGGAGAACACTCAGACTTTTAAAGGGACAGGAATGGAGGGTGCAGTCCTGGGATATCAGATGAGAACAGGCACTGCAGCTGTTCTTTTGTATCATTATTTTTTATCCAAGCATGCTGTTCAGAAATGAGTATTTTAGTAAAATTCAGTCATTGTGTTCATGAAGACAACACAAGAAAAAGATAGATTTCCTTCCTTGGGTGAAGGAAATACTTTACCTCATATTCAAGGAGAAAGGAGGAGAAATGCCTTTGAATAAGTTATCCTTCTAGTTTTTCGCTCTAATATCCCCCAAGTTTAACATCACAAAGAAACCAAGACAGTAACAGTACTTTAGCAATTTTTGATCTTCTCCATTAAAGCCTTGTGCCACTTTCAATTGAGTCAAAGTCCAAAATTTTGTAGTGGTTTTTGTCTTTCAGAACAATAGTATTTTGTGAGAGTAAAATAAGTCCTAAACACACTGACTGCTTTTAATGCACAAAGTTTGCATTTCATGCACAATTCCATCCTTTAAAATACAAATCAGTTTTCATTTTCAGTGCAGATGTCCAAATAGCAGTCCCTGGTCCCTGTTTTCATGTTTTTCAAATTACTGTCTATGCAGTAATTTTCCAGAAAACTGCATAGACAAATGTTCAGTGTCACTTAGACAGTGAAGTGATTGTGTTTCTGACTTTGGTGTTGAATACAGGCACGATCCAGAGAAACTTGATGCCTTCATCATGGATAAAGCACTCTTAGATTATGAAGTGTCAATAGATGCTGACTGCAAGCTCCTAACTGTGGGAAAACCCTTTGCCATTGAAGGTAATAACCATTTTTATGACACACTGCTCTGTTCCTCATGTGCTGAATTTGCATTGTTGTGCTGTGGTATTCTCAGTGAAAATATGAAGGTGAAACTGAGGACCCCTTGAGGATTACGACAAAATCCTCAGTGATTGAGCAGAACAAAAGCTCCAGCCTTTTCTTCTGGTTTTCTGGGTTGGTTTTTTTTTGTTGTTGTTGTTGTTGTTTTTTTGGTTTTTGTTTTGTTTTGTTTTGTTTTGTTTTTGTTTTGTTTTTGGGTTTTTTTTTGTATGTGTGGTTTTTTTTGTATGTGTGGTTTTTGTTTTGGTTTTTTGGGGGTTTTTTTGGCTTTTTTTTGTTTTGGTTAGGGTTTTTTTTTTTTCTTTTTTTTTTTTTTTGAGATCTCATAACATTTTTACACCTGTTTCCAGGCCTGGGTGGCGCTTTGAGCAACTTGGTCTAGTGGAAGATTTCCCCATGGCAGGCATTGCAATGAAATGTTCTTTAAGGTCCCTTCCAACCCAAACTACGCTCTGATTCTATGATCTGTTGCCATGCTGTATATAGAAATTATTCCAAGTGCTCAGACATTGTGTCTGCAGACAAGCAGAAGGCTGAGTCCATTTCCCTGCTCACCATGAAATAAAGAGGCCACTGAAATGAGGTTTCTTTTCTGCCAGCCCTCTTTATTGAGGTGTGTTCAAAACCCAGTTCAAATGTGTTCAAAATGCAGTTCTGCAGTTTCACGCTCATCTGAAACAGGCAAATACTGTTCTCATCTTAAAGGTCAGCTCAAGATTCCTACTTGAGAAGGGAATTGAGAAGGGAGCTTGGTGCTTGGCCTGCAGCCTTGAGAAATTAGAAAGGACAGGTCAGAAGGCAGCCAGGAAGCAAGGCTGGTGTGAAGTTGCTTCCAGCATTGATGAGCACATGGGCAGCAGACTTTAGAAACCACTTTTGTGATAGATGGAAGTGGAAAGCACTGGTGCTTCCACTTTCCTCCCCTCCAAGGGTAATCACTCCAGCTGCTCCCATTACACAGTAAAACAACCTTCTTCAGAAACCTGATTAATTCCTTTCAGAAAGGTCAGCTCTGCTGAAATAAAACCAGAAGCTTCCACAATTTCAAATCAAGTAGATTACATTTCAATATAGAAAAAGAAAAAAACAAGCAGACACTGAACTACACAATTTTGGATGACTGGACTTCCTTCATATCACCCAATTACAAAAAAGATATGCTGAAAATGTGATATTTATGAGTCCTAGCTGTGCTAACTCTGAAACAAATCCTTTGATGTGAGCAAATTTATTCAGGTGGAATTACAGGCACAATGTAAAAAATTTAGCAGCAAAGGAGAAGCATTGTAGGAACAGTTATCACCTCATCACTCATTAAAAAGTGAGCCACTGTCCTGGAAAATTCAGCTCTTGTCTGTTTGTGAGGGTTTTTTCCTTCTTCCTGTGTTGTGGGTTTTTTTAAGGAGACAGTCTGAAATTCTGAATTCTGAACTGAAAAACAAAAATACACAGTGGACTAAAAATTAATCTCTGCAGGCAATTGGCATGCAACTGCATGTCTTTGAGGGATCAGTTGCATTTGTTTAAAATTTCTAAAGTCAAACCCCAGATGCTGCAAATATAAGCACTGCATTCAGAGTTACTGAATTCATCTCCACTTACACTAAGTCCTTTACCCGCACTTTAGCATGGTGAAAGACAACACAGTGGCTAAAAACTGCATTTATTAGTATCTGAAAGTCGCTGTCAGTGCCAGAGCAGAAGTACATGAACTGAAAGCATAGCCCCTGGGCTTTAAATTGCTGTGTGATAACAATGAAGATTGCTCCTGTATATATTTACGTGCATACAGCTCCTCATCAGAAAATGCTTTAGGAAGAAAATGTGACATCTGACACCACAGTCACATCCACTGCTCTAGCAATGCAAGGGGACCACAGAATGATTTATGTGACATTAAGGCCCTTTTGCATTGCTGAAAGAATCCATGACAAAGGCATGAAAAGGTCTGTGTGTCTAGAGAAAATATTTATTAATCCATTGTCTCCATTTTAAGTTTTTGAACCTCCAGTGCTACATATTTCTTGTGTGGCTGTAATAGTTTTGAATTTGCTTATTCTGTTTATATTGGGTGACTTTATTTTGCACCAAAAAAGGTCTTGACTCAGCATTCTCAGACCACAGTAAGCCAGGTTTGAGCTGGCTGGCTGAAATAGAGTGTCAGCTTGCTCTTCCATGCTGAAATGAACACACTTCAGCAAAAACCAAACGAGAAAGAGAGAGATGATTGTACTGTTCTCCCTTCTAGGATATGGCATTGGTCTTCCCCCCAACTCTCCGCTCACCTCAAACATCTCTGACCTGATCAGCCAGTACAAATCCCATGGCTTCATGGATGTTCTGCATGACAAGTGGTACAAGGTTGTTCCCTGTGGAAAACGAAGCTTCGCCGTCACGGAGGTAAGCGATGAACTCGGGTCACCTAAGTGAGGCTTTGTACAAGCTGACAATTATTTTCCCTCATTCCTAATTACATGCCCACATGGCAGGGATGGGTGGCAGATGAAGAGAAGGAGGAGGCTTCAAAGGCAAGAGCTGCTGACCCAGGCAGAGCAGGAGGAACACGTCAGTGGGACTGTGCTGCTGATTGAGGCACCAGGGAGCTCCTCTGGACACAAGCAGGGCATAAAGAGGGCAGTAAAAGTCCTGATCTGGTATATTTCACAGCAAACCTCTCTGATTCTGATTCCACTCAACTGTGTGTGTATCACCATCCACAAAGAGAGGGAGAGCTCAGGACATCCCGAATTTTAAATACACGCTCACCGCTTCCAAACATGGGTGGCAGCTACCTGTACCAAAGATAGGATTTCAGGCAAGAAATGGTCTGCTAAGACACCATGCCAAGAAGAGAGGGGAAGCAGGTCTCACTTCCTTGTAGATCTATGAGAAAGGGAAATAAATCTTCATGGATGTACATCCAAGTACCACATCAGAGGAGTTATGCCATAATTTATGAGAAAAAGATAACTCTTATCAGAATAGCAGTTTTTCCTCAAGTTCCCCAGACTGTCAAGTGAAAAAATAAGATAAAGTATGGAAGAATCAAAAGCACCAGCAATGTGTGAAGCTTATAGCATACTCTTTTAGCTGAAGGTCTTCCAGGAGGGATAGGTTATGTATTCTCACAGGTACAAGTCAGTTAGAACTCTGCTGTCTCCTTCTCAGAGTGCTCAGCCAAGGGCCAAACACACACTCGGTGTTCCCTGAGGAAGTGGAAGCATTCCCCCATCAAAGAGAAGATCCGTTTCCTGGGCTGACTCCCACTTTTCAATGGTCAACTGCAAACCTCTGGCTGATGACTAAATCACTAGAAAGTTAACATTTTTTAGGGATATGACAAAGCAAATCTTTATTTGGCATTTTTAATACATAATTTGTTGGGCTATTTCTGCATGTCTTACTACATTCTTTACTTTTTCATTACAGTTTTGTCAATAGGAAATAAATTATATTTTAACATCAGACATTCATAGAAGAAAATTCAATTTATTTTTATGCAACTTACTCATTTTTTCTTTCTTTTCTTATGTGATTAATTCAACACAAGAAAGCGAACTTAAACAGAAGTGTGTATTCACTTCTCTTTTTGATTTAGCTTATCTGAAGATTGTATTATCATCTAAAAAGGAAATCGTCTTTTTAAAATAGCAGTTCCTTCAATGACTTCTTGTTACTGTACATTTTAACTAGTCTTTTGAATTAAATCTCAGGAAATTACAAGGTGGTAATGTTATAAATTACCTCAAAGTTGCATAAAACTCAAAATTCTTACAGCAGAGAAAACTTACCTTCCTAATAATTCCTAGTGATGTAACAAAAGGAGCTTCCTCTGATCGCGTCTTACCCCACAGCATTCATCTGGGGCTGTATGCTCTCTATTCTTAATCATATAATAAATTCCAGTCAAAAGTACAATTTTAATTAGTACTGGTTTACTCTTGGAACATATGGTTGCTTCTTTAAGTCTGTGGAGTGAGGTGCTTAGATCCTCTGGGAGGGGCATGAGATGACCCACTGGGCTGCAGAAGTATTAGAATCTGAGTAATACCTACCTATAAAAATTGTAAATAGATGTACATATATGGGGGTCCTTGTTCAAAATGTTACCAAGAGAGGTAACATGATCAACACAAGATTCCTCAAGGCCTACCAAGAAGGGGAAAGAAGGTGGGGCAAAAATCTGCTCCAGTCAAAAGAAAAGTCAGATTTTGCCCTGTGAATAGTTCCATGGAATTCCTTTGGGGTTTTTCTTCCACTATTGAATAGGTTTTAACCACAGGATTTTAAGGGAGGCCTTAAGCATGGGGTCACAGCTGGAGCTCTGACCATGTTTACATAAGGTAAAGCATGTTGTGCTTTAATGTAATTAAGTCTTTTGAGTATAACCTCCATGTGAAGCCCAGAAAGAAGGGTAGGTGTAGCTGCTCCCAGGCTGGTTGTCTGACTATAGTCCTTATTCAGTCTTCAGTTGCACTAATTCAACAGGCACAACTGAGTTTTTTGTTCAGAAACTAAAGTCCAACAAGTTGCTTCAGGTGTCTGAACTGAAGGACTCAGTTCATGGAGTGCAACTAGGCCAAGTGCCTGCAGCTGGGTTGGGGGAATGCCACGCCCCGATACAGGCAGAGAGCAGCCCTGGGGAGAAGGACTTGGGGCCTTGGTGGATTAAAAGCTCAAGATGCCCTGGCAATGGGCTCTGGCAGCCCAGAAAGCCAAAGATGTCCTGGGCTGCATCACTAAAAGTGTGAGGGAGGTGATTGTGCACCTCTGCTCACTCTGGTGAGACCCCACCTGCAGAGCTGCATCCAGCTCCAGGATCCTCAGCATAAGAAGGATGTGGCACTGTTGGAGGAAATCCAGAGGAGACCACAAAGGTGATCAGAGGGTCTCTGCTCTGCACCCAGGCTGGGAGAGCTGGAGGTGTTCACCTGGAGAAGGGAAGGCTCCAGGGATACCTTAGAGCCCCTTCCAGTGCCTAACTGGGATCCAAGGGAGCTGAAGAGGGACTTGGACAAGGGATGGAGCAACAAGAAAAGGGGAATGGCTTTAGACTGGAAGAGGTAGGTTGAGAGGAGATAAAAGGATGAATTCAAACATTTAGGTGGTGAGGCCCTGACAGAAGTTGCCTAGAAAAGCGGTGACTACCCCACCCCTGAAAGTGTCCAAGGTCAGGTGGGACAGGACTTGGAGGAGCATGGTCTGGTGGTTGGTATCCCTGCCCAAGGATTGAAACTAGATGGTCTGTAAGGTCTCTTCAAAATCACACTATTCTAGGATTCTGTGAATCTAAAAAGTCACTGAAAGGTCCTTACTCAATCAGAAAGTGAGCAGAAGCAGAATACCACTTGCAAGTCTGTGCCATTTGTGTAGTAAGCTCTGCTAAGTCCATATCTTCATTTTCCTGAGTTGTCTCACTTTTAATGCATATCCCACATGCATCCCCTCTTCTTAATCCATTCCTTTTGGCCAAGAACTTACAAATTTTAGAATGTGTGATGTTTTAGTTGGGAGAAATTTACTAAACTTAACAGCCAAGCAGCAAACACTCACCAAAGTACAGGTTCTTCCCCACTGTTACAGCAAGAAGCATGGGAATTAGTCTTGGACTCACATTTATGTTGGTTTGTTAATTTACTCCTGTACAGCCTGAAAATCTCTGTAACTTCACTCCCTGCACTCAGTCACAGTAGTATTCTAGATTCACTGAAGAGTGGACAATGTTCAACACAGAAGCAGATGATTCATTTTTTCAAAGAGTCTCAGCTTCTCAGTGGGTAGTCATTCACATGGATTATTTACCAAAGTGAGACCCAGCAGTTGCCTTTTGACAGCAAGAGTAAGGTTTTTTATTCCTCTATGTTGTTTTGATAAATTTGGTCTGTGACATGCTGCACCTGTTGACCAAGAGTAATGATGCCAAAATGGGAATATATGTAGGCGAAATACTAATCAGTATAGCCTTTAAATTGATGGGATATCCATCATCCATTTTGATCATTACCTCTTTAGCTGTGCCTGGTTCTTATCCACCTGCTACTCCTGCCCACTGAAGTTTATTTTTCTATAGATTTGTTTTGAGATCCATCTTCCTACTCACCATTTTTTACTAATCTTACACTGGGAAATTATGTTTCCTGTGGCAGAACTCATTGCTAGCTCTTCCCATCTCTCTCTATCTGACAGTGGATGAGCACTTTGCTTATTCTAAATCACATTTCAAAACAAAGTTGTCCTGGAAGGAAATTATTCAGCCTGGTGCTGGAAGGTTTCAGTGACTCTTTTAGCTGGGAAACCAATAAAGATGGTTTATTTTCTGACATTGCAGAGGTCAGAAATGCTTGACTCTGCTGTTTTGTATCAACTTCTCCAGCAAAACCACTTACCCAAGGCATCTGACCCTGACCAGCACCGACTGGATCATTTATGGGGCATGCACCTAGATCAGGCTTGGAAAGAATACTGCAGTGAATTGCACTTTACCTTCTCCACTGCAGGTAATTGTGGGTGGCAGTGGTTGTTCTTGGTGAGTGCTAGCCTCTAGTAATATTGCTTGAATACTCTTAGTTTAAAATTGTCATGTTTAAGTTTCAAAGGAGTGCCTTTGTGGCCATATTGCTGAGCTCCCTACTGAGGGTGAAACATGGTGCAGGAGGGATGAGGGATTGACAGAGTTATATTTGCACATGATATCTGGGCATAATCAATGTAATTTGTTGTTATTTTGCATACAGTAAACTCAGCTCTTCCTCTACCCTATTGTTATCCTCAGTGATACCTCTTCAGAAGGAGCCAGGCTCTTGGGACTTGCCTTTCCATCCCATTAGCTCTACCCAAGCTCAGAATAGACTGCAGAGAGAAGGTTTTTACAAAGAGGGTGGAAAATAGAAAGTGAGCAGAATGTTTCCCAGAGGAGTGGGGGATGCCCCGTCACTGAAAGTGTTCAACCATCCCTGGAGGCATCCAAGGCTCCGAGCAAGCTGTTCTAATTGAATATGACCCTGATCATTGTGGGGCAGTTGGACCAGGTGGCCTTGAAAGATCCCTTTCAACGCAAACCAGTCCATGATTCTGTGATTTTTGGGAACCAAAAGTTTTGCAATTTTGTGCTCCTGGCAGCAAAGCAGCTCTGGAACTCAGCCAGTGAGGCAGCAGGCAGGGGTACACCTGAAAGGAAAAATCGCTGTAGTCAGTGGGTTTGGCTGCTCAGGATAGGCAGTGATGACCAGGGTACAGTTTATCAAGATAGTACAAAAAAGAAGAGCCCTTCCTGGTCCGTGCTTTCAGAGAATCTAATTAAGTGTACACAGTCTTTCACACCTTTTTAGCTATATTTTAAAAAATGTTACTGTGGAAACTGTATCTTCAGTTTCTCTTGAAAGGTTTGTATTTCTCCCTTT